GACCCTGTAGGGCACGGCTCAGACACAGCCAAGAGGAGAAGGGGGCACAGGGCTGGGGGGCCAGCCGAGGCAAACCAGGCCCCCCCAACTTCCATGGACACAGCGGGTAGGTACCAGACAGGACAAACAAACAGATGGCTGAGGGACAAGGCAGAGCGAGGGGGACTCCCATGGCCCCCACTCCCACCCCAGGCCAGGTCCCAGTCCCAGGTGGACATCAGGAGCATTGGGCCAGCCCAGGACCTTCCGATGGATGAAGAGGGAGGGGAGCCTGGCACTCCCCAAGCCCTCGGCACACCAGCAGCAGGGATAGGACACTGGCCGGGGGGGACAGGGCCAGGCCAATGTGAAGCCCCGTGGCTCTGTGGGGGAAGGCTCTCTCCCTGCAGGATTGAAGGGGATGGCCAAAAGGACCTTCTCCCACATCCCCAGCCAGCCTGGGAATGCTCCCACTAGGCAGGTGCCACTGGAAGCAGGGGGCTACAGGTGCCCCCAGCAAAGCCCCCAGGCAGGTTTCTCCAGCAGCTGTATCCTGGGGGGGTGGGGGGAACAATGCACAGGCATCCCTTCCCTTGCCTCGCTGCTGCGGTCTCAGTCCTTCTCCTGCACCAGGCTCTCCTCCGTGATGCCCTGGGCTGCAAGCTCAGCCAGGACATTGTCCAGGTAGTTGATGTCGGGGTAGCCGTGGCCGGTGAGGTTGGAACCAAACTCTGTCTTGTGGTGGATCTCGTTCCAGATCACCGTATCTGACTCGCCTGTGGTGCTGGAGGTCCCAATGGCGAAGATCAAGCGCCGGTCCCAGGCTACCAGCAGCAACTTCAGTACCTGCGGAGGGGAGAGATGGGGCAGGCAGCAAGATAAACATGGAGGGGGGGAAGCACCCACTTCTGCTCAGGGCACGCCTGATCATCCCCGTATGCCCCAAGCAATGCAGGCAACCCACAGGCAAGCCCTCCCAGGGAGCTTGGGATGCCAGCATGGAGTCCTACCCCAACCAAAATAACGGGACCGGGCTGCAGAGCTCCCCCAGCAATTGGGAACACCGCTGGGCTCCTGCAGAGCATGCCGGATGGGCTACAGGGAAAATCTCCACCCAGATTTGCCTGCATAAGCCTTATCTGCTTTTCCCCATGTTCCAAATACCTGCTCACTCCCTCTCCCCCTCAATACGCCCTTGAGCGTGCCTTGGCCAGCTCGAGCTGCCTGGGTGAGCCCCTCACCTTTCTGCCCTTCTCACTGTCCGGCAGGTAGCAGTGCCGGGGGAAGCCGCGGGCGGTGAAGCTCTTCCCAGGGTTTGGATGCTCCGGTCCCTGCAGTGTGTGGAGTGGGAGAGGAACAAAACCCTTTTGGAGCTCAGAAGGATGCTCTTGGCACAAGGTAACCCCCCAATTTCAGTGGACGCAGAGCTGCTCACTGCTGTGCTGGGCGGCCACACTCCAGCACGGTGGCCCTACATGCTACGGTACCCTCTGCCACCAAGCAGATGGGGCCAACACTTTCATGCAGATGTACCCCAGACTTCCCACATCCTTATGGACATGCAGCTCCCGAGATATCATTGAACCTGGAGCCCTGAGTCAAGGCATGAGCTGCAGCATGACCTGGGAATAACACAGCGGTGACAAGGGCCACCAGCCCCCACAGGGGACCACCCACGTACCCCTCCCGGGCATAGGGCCAGGCCGCACCTGCACCCCTGGGGGAATGTTGTAGATGATGCGGATGGTTTTGCAGTCAGAGTGGCCAGGCAGCGCGTGAGGGATGATGTGATACTCCATCTTCCCTGGGGGCTGTGTCCCTGTCTTCACCCCATAGATGGTTTTGCAGGTGGGACACTGCAGGCTCCCATCCTGAGAGCAAGAAAAAAGGGGAACATCATGAAATTGGTATCCTCCAGCACCAAGCCAGACCGGGCACTTTGTCCCTGAGCAACACTGAACACCATTTTCATCATGAAAACAGTCATTTCAAAAACACTTCAGGAAGCAGGGGGTAGGCCTGGGTGTATTTGCTAGGGCAACCCAACTTTAACCAAAAGCCTGAAGTCTGCATTTCTTCTCCTCATCAGTTTTACAGTCCTCACTCCTTACCTCTGTTTTGAGTTTGGGGGTTTTGGTTTTGGCGGGGTTTTTTAAGAGGGAAAGATAATAAATATTAAAAGATATTAAATATTAATAA